AATAATTAAAATAAACATACAATTAATGATGTATTGATAGAACTAGAGCTGCATTTATTTGTGTCTTTTCGATCTGCCTGGAGTTCAGCTCTGTGTTTGTGTAGCACTACCCCCACAGGGGCCACTTGATAAGGCTTGTCTCCAGTGGTTGCCCTGACCTTGTAAGCCTCCTGACACCTATGACACTCTGGGTTCAGACATATTTCAACAGTATAGAAAAATAATGAAAGAGACACAATTCTTTAGTAACATCTCTATATTAGACTTGTTAAAAAGAGTAGGCTACAGGAATAATGGGTTTATGATTTACAACCCCAGTTAATGCATAAAAGCAGATCATTGGTAAAATAGAAATAGTCAATTAACAACGTTTAACAGGTTATACAGTCATGAGAAGAAGTACGTTTGAAGTATATAAATACAACACCAGCAGCAACAGGGAGAAGAAAAGGCTTGTTGACTTATCAGCTCCCTCCAGGCCACTGGCACTGCAACAGGGCAGCCAGAGAATTATGTAAATGTATACTCTGGCATAAAAAGTTATAAATACCCGAAATTGAACAACAATGGCCTTAGAAGAGAAAAGGTCCCTTTAACTAGAGATTGCAACTTGAGTCCCACAATGTTTAAAGTTCCTGATATGGTGGTAGCCGCTGTTTTCTGCTAGCACTCTATTGATAGCCTGGTCTAGGAATGAGAGTTCTTGCCCAGGCACTTGGCTGTTTGCGGGGAAGAGCAGAGTTAAAGCCTGATGACCTGTCAGCATGGTAAGCAGAGATGTCTGTGTGAAGACTGGACAATGACAGTCCCAATGCAAAGATGCTGGTCTGATCCCGGAGTGGTGAACAACATCACTGCTGTGCTGAACTGATTTTCAGTCCCGCAGCAGTAGGCCAGCAATCTGTCTCTGGAGAACAGCAGGCCCCCTGTGTTTTGTTCTGAGAGAGAGACAGTCCCTTGCTGTAGAATATATCTGCTCTCCCAGCATCCTTCTCATTCCCCAGCTCTTTGGTAGCTCAATCATCACTCATAGTTACATAGTTAGTCTGGCTGAAAAAATACAAAAGTCCATCCAGTTCAACCATTAAAAAAAAAAAAAAAAAAAAAGTTATAATCCTATACCCACAGGTGATCCAGAGGAATGCAAAAAAAACCAGCAAAGCATGATCCAATTTGCTCCTGCAGGCAAAACAAAATCCTTCCTGATCCCCCAAGAGGCAATCGGATATTCCCTGGATCAACTTTACCTATAAATGTTAGAACTCAGAAATACGATATGTACTGGCTATAGGACTACAGGTCCCAAGGTCCTCAGCTGTCAGAAAAACTGAATCCACTCTGCTAACAGGAAGTGATGTAGCAGTCCCAGTACTGGACACTAGAGGGAAAAAGGATTAACCATAGTCTCATCTGTAAATATCCCTGAATGGCATAATAATATAGTCAGCGCCTGGCAACATTTGTATTAGGTGAAAATTGTGCTGACCTGGCTATGCAAGGATATTTTAATTACATCATTACCTGAGCAGAATTAAAAAAATACATATTTATCATTTATTAATTACAGGCATTTATATAGCACTGACAGGTAAGACAGTGTGTATATATATATATATATATATATATATATATATATATACACACACACACACATACACACACAGTATATATGAAACTAAAACAAATTACTCAAAGTAGGAATGATTTATATATACATTTTTATTGCCATCTCCAATTTTGCTGCAATCTCCAGCTATAATTGTTAAAATAATTCAAAGTAGTCATTGACCCAGGAAATTGATTTAACTTCCACTGGAAGGTCCAAGAAAATTGCTCCCCTCTGTGAGGATGCATTGGCAGCTGCTGGAGTTTTTGTTGAGTCTTTATGAGAAACAATGATATAAGAAAACTATTAGACTAGGGAGAGCTGTAATGACTATGTTACCATGTAAATGTTATCACTCTGATAGCAAAGCTCCAAGATTTTTTACAGCCTCGTTATTATGATAAAGATCCTTATAAAGAAATATCACATTCCACTTAATGGTAGAATGTTCAAGAAATATGCATGTATTGCATTGTTAAAAATACACAAGGAATAATTGGCGGATAGGTTAAAGCCCAACTCCAGGCAGTATGGTGTGGACTATTGTTTGCAGTGACACTGAGCACTTTATTGCAATTTGGACTGAATTGTTCACTTTATATGCTGTACACATACTGTATGTGATGTATTTTATATTTTTTTTGTATTTATAGTTTTATATCTCATTTTTATATATGTGTATTCATAGGCAGCACTGCTCCCATACATAGTGGTGTAGGGGTATTATATAATTTATGCACAAAAGGTGTTATGATGTCAGCCCTGCTCTCTGTATCATTGCATGTGAGTACAGGGTGACATGGTGATGTACTTTTAGGGGGCAGGTCTATGACTCCCTGAACTCACAAGATTTCCTGTCTTTGGAGTTGAATGATGAAGAATTAGGACATCTAGTGGTAGAAATAAATAAACTGCAGGGAATAGTGCCAGATGCAATGTGTGTATTGCTGTTGTTATGTTCTCAACATTTCTTGGGCCCCAGTTGAAAAAAAAAAGCATTTTGCCCAGAGTTGGGTTTTAACCACTTTGCGCCAGCGCTTTCTGCCCTTTAAGAGTTTCAAAAGCTGGGAGACGGGCGGGGTTTTAGGGTAATGTGACCGCAGTGATTCGCCACATATTTGCGTGCGCTCGGCATCAAGGGGTTAAATTACTTCAGTTCTGGGTTTGCTATAGGCTTACTTTTCATTTTTTAAAGAATACATAGCTGCAATAGTTGTTTGTTTGTTTGTTTTTTGCAATAGAGTTCAATTTTGAAGTGTAATTAATCAATTTTTTTTTTCGTTTAATTTTTTCTGGCATTAAAGCGTTACTAAACATCCCCAAAATATAATATATTGCAGCTTACCAATTATTTGATATGATGGCCACATTTGTTTTAATTTTTTTTAAAAAATTTTCCTTTATTTTTACCTGGTGATCCAGCCAGTAAGTCTGTTATTTTTCAGCTCCTTTAACAGACCAAGCTGTTAGACAATGTCGCTGTTAGAGGGTTGAGACAAACCATTTTCCACTGACAGGGATGCTTACAATGTTCAGATTTTATTTATTATGTGAAACCATTATCCCAAAAGGAAATTAAAATTGTTTTCTGTAAGGGTTCATTTACATTTCCTTCCACTTCAGCAGCCACCAATTAATTCAACTGGCTTTGTTGATGTGTTTTTGATGCTTCCTTGATGTTTCCGTGCTGCTTTTTTTTAATGCAAATGCTTTCTGTGTGTTGATTTTCTATTTGTTTTAAAGGGGCCAAGTAGAACCTCCGATTCAGTAGTACCCACAACTCAGCAGATCCCCTGCTCAGTAGTAAACCTCAGCTCTGCTGATCTCCCGCTCAGTGGTAACCCCCAGCACTGCTGATACCCCACTCATTAATATCCCCCAGCTTTTCTGATCCCCTGCTCAGTAGTAACCCCCAGCTCTGCTTATACCCCACACAGTAGTAACCCCCAGCTCTGCTGAACTCCTGCTCGGTAGTAACCCCCAGATCTGCTTATACCCCCTGCTCAGTAGTAACCCCCAGCTCTGCTTATACCCCACTTAGTAGTAACCCCCAGCTCAGCTGAACTCCTGTTCAGTAGTAACCCCCAGCTATGCTGAACTCCTGCTCAATAGTAACCCCCAGCTCTGCTTATACCCTACTCAATAGTAACCCCCAGCTCTACTGAACTCCTGCTCAGTAGTAACCCCCAGTTCTGCTGGACTCCTGCTCAGTAGTAACCCTCAGCTCTGCTGAACTCCTGCTCAGTAGTAACCCCCAGCTCTGCTGAACTCCTGCTCAGTAGTAACCCTCAGCTCTGCTGAACTCCTGCTCAATAATAACCCCCAGCTCTGCTGAACTCCTGCTCAGTAGTAGCCCCCAGCTCTGCTCACCTGACATTGCTAGTTTCTCCTGCTCTGGTCTGCCAGCTCTGCTGATCCTTCATCACTCAGTCCTCTCTCTCCAGTCCCCGCTCACCGTCCGCTATAGTGTTCCCATGTAGCACACCATGTGTACATCTGCTAGTTGCTCCTCTCCAGTCCGGAACCTGCTTACCTTCCTACTGCTCCACACCGCACACCAGATGTGCACCAGACACTTCCAGAATATATGCACATGAACTAGAAATGACTACAGATGACATCTTTATGGTTCGCTTATTGGTTTTCCAGTGCATCCTGGGATATCTCATACCTCCAAAACAAAGCAAATCTACCTCTGAATAAAAACCCCGCAAAAGCTGCAAGTGCTGTAAGTGAGCTTTGTCATAGATTTCTTTGGACGCTTTGAAGATGCTTTGAAACACCATAAAAGCGACACGGGGTATAATTTTTGAAGCGAAGCAAAGCAAGGCAAACATTTGTAAACAGGACTATATGCTTACCATTTTACAGTATTTAGTGACAGTGGCTTTAATTGGCATTCAGAATACTTTAAAAAGCATGTCCAATGCCACATTCTGAACAAAGTATAATAGAGCCCTAGCTGCTTAAAAAGTGTTAGCTGGAGTTTGGCTTTCATTTGTTAGTTAATTCTTTCTAAATCTGTTAGTACATCTAATACTACCCTATCCCCTGACTAATAATGCTGCTGTCCAAAGGAGTCTCTGTTGCTCCTCCACCCAGAGTAGAGACACCCTAAGGCAAGAAGTGTGGTACTAGCAAGATCATAGGGTAAAAATAAAGGAAAACAAGCGTAAAAACAAAAAACTAGTACAGCCACCACATCTAAGCGTTGGTAAGCTACAATGTATTAAACTCTTCTTTTGGGGTTTACCCACCTTCCGCCCGCCCTATAGTACAATGACGGGCGCAAGGTGGTTCTCTCGTTCTGATAGGATGTCATATGACGTCCTACCATTCTCACTGCGCATGCGCGGCTCAGGGAGCATGCAGCTCGGCTATCGCTGGTCCGCTGTGTTCCTCGGACACAGCGGATCACGGAAAGAGCCGAAGATGTCAGCTCGGCCATGTGATCAGCTGTGTCCAATCACAGCTGATCACATGTAAACACGGAAATGCCGTTATCGGCATTTCTCTCCTCTCGAGCTGTCACGCTGGCAGCTCGAGAGGAGAGGAGAGCCAGTAATCAGCTTTCCGCGGAGGGGACATGTACACTGATCATCAGGGCACTGATGATCAGTGTGCCCTGATGATCAGTGTGGCTCCAGAAGTGCCACTTGTCAGTGCTCATCAGTGCCATGTGCCAGTGCCCATCAGTGCCACATCAATGCCACATATCAGTGCATACCAGTGTACATCAATGCCACATATCAGTGCCCATCTGAGCTGCCTTTCAATGTCACCCATCAGTGTTAGTCAGTGCCACCTATCAATGCCAATCAATGCCACCTATCAGTGATGCCAATCAGTGCCACCTATCAGTGCCAGTCAGTGCCGCCTATCAGTGCCAGTCAGTGCCGCCTAACAGTGCCAATCAGTGCTGCCTAACAGTGCCACCTATCAGTGTCATGTATCAGTGTTATGTATCAGTGTCATGTATCAGTGATGCCTTTCAGTGCCCATCAGTGATGCCTGTCAATGCCCATCAGTGCAACCTACCAGTGCCTCCTCATCAGTGCCCATCAGTACCACCTATCAGTGTCCATCAGTGCAGCCTATCAGTGCCCATCACTGCAGCCTCATTAGCGCACATCAGTGAAGGAGAAAAATCACTTATTTACAAGTATAACAAAAACTAAGAAAAAAAATTTTTTTTTTCAAAATTTTCAGTGGTTTTTGGTTTGTTTAAGAAAAAATAAAAATCCCAGAGGTGATTAAATACCACCAAAAGAAAGCTCTATCTGTCTAAAAAAAATGATAAAAATTTCATATGGGTACAATGTTGCATGACCGCACAATTGTCATTCAAAGTGTGACAGCGCTGAAAGCTGGAAATTGGACTGGGCAGGAAGGGGGTATAAGTGCCCTGTAGGCTAGTGGTTAATACTGTTTTAAGTAAACAATGAAATGATTTCATGTAGTTTTTTATGTCTTGTATTGAACTGCATTAGGTCATCAGTTGTCTGCAGCATGCTGACATCCAGTAGTGGTTTCTGGTCACAACAACTTGTTTACCAATGTGATTTTGGTATCTTACTTTGTCCTCACCTCCTGTTTTTATTGAAGGTTTCAAGAACAACAAACAAAGTACAAACAACGAGATCATGCAACAAATAGATAAGGAGGTCACTACAGGCTTGTAGACTATAAGACCATAAAATGAGGTTATACCAAGTCTGAATGTCTGTAAGCACATGGGTGACTTAATTGTAGGAGATGTGGCAAGGAGGCAGGGTGGAAGGAAATGGAGGGAGAGGGCTCCTCTCTTCTTTGGAGCTAGTTAGTTCAATTTTAGCAAAGATCCTCCCCATGCCTTCTATGTTCCCTCTGTCAGCGTTAGTTATTCACAAAGACATGGCCTAGAAAAGTCATTGTCTTATACTTCAACAGACAGGAAAAAAACATCCTCTTTGCTGAAATTAGCTGAAGTAAAATTGCACTGGATTCAACTTATACAGTATGTCTTCTGGAAGAGTTAAGCTGCCTGTGGATTGTATCAAATCTGAAGGTCACCATACTGTTCAGACAGACTGGGTCTAAGGAGGTAGGTCAATAGATTTGAAACAGAATGCCAATATGTAACAAGGAAGTAGCACTAGTGTGTTTTAGGTGTAGTACTCACCCCCAAAGGAGCCGCTGAGTATTGGGTCCCCCTTCTATCCTGCACAGCCAGGCAACAAGCATTTTGAGACTTCCACTCAGAGTCAGTAACCAGTCCAAGAGTTTTTTTTTGTTGTTTTTATTTAGAGGTATAAACACCTTGGACAGGGTTTAGGGGTATATGGGAAGGTCAGCTTGACTTGCAGTAATACCTCTGAGGGCAAACTTCCTAATTCTGTAGAAAAATGTAGATCCTAAACTTTCTACTCCAGACGGAGTGGCACAGTCAATTAATGGATCAATAGCACAGTCTCTGTGAGGAGCATCTAGTCCCCTTTAAGTGAACTTTCTTTAGATTCTAGCTAAAAAACTCCCATCCACCTGGCTGTCTTTGAAGAGTACCCTGGAGCAAGAGATTCCAAGACAGGCATGCAGCACTGTCCCATGGACAACTGCTTAAGTATTGCACCCAGCAGTCCTCTCTCCTTTTGGCCCAGGGGTATAGAGGTACTCACACTGTCCTTGTATCCTGTAGCTCTGGGTAAACTGCGTACAGGCCTCCCACTGAGCCAGTTTCTGTCCCCGCTTGCAGGCTGTCCTTTCCCGGTGGACTGTAAGACAGTGAAACTCCCTCTGTTAGCTTTCTTTACTTTTCTGCATCTTCCAGCCTGGAGGCAGAACCCTCCTTGCCGGGGTCCCCTCCAAGGCTACACAGCAGCACCTTCAGTAATCCATCTTCCACTGAACTCCAAACCCCTGCTGAGATGCCTTCTTATATCCAGGGGTAGTCTGCCACACTACAAGAACCTCCAGCCTTGGGTTGGTCAGATTCCCATGAATATGAAGATCCAGGTCTCCACCCCTCTGTCCACTAGCTTCTGGAAGATGCCATGAACCTTCAGAACAAGGTGGAGGCAATAGAGGCCTAACCTGGTCTGACCCCCACTCAGACATGCTCCAACTACTGAGACTACAGGCACTCCAACTACTGAGTGAGCCATTACATTTACCTAACTCTCTAGTGCCACTAGAAGGTGCTACATAGCCTAAATAAGCCAATCATATTTCAGAATATTTGTGGAGATAGGCTAATTATATGGGATGTGTTAAGCACCAACAGCTTTATAGTATAAAGGGAGACAGTACAGTTACATCGCAGTGCAATACAAAGGGGGTTAGTGGGGACCCAGCTCATGAGGGCATACAATTTAAAAGCTGATCCATGATTGGCTGCTGGGAGTTGCCGCTCTGAGTTACTGCTTGCATCATGACATTCAATAAAGCCCTAGTGTTTCATTCAGCAAAATAGTTATTCAACAGCTGCCAAAATATAAAAATGGGTGAAACGTCTGAAAGCTCCATTCCTGAGTGACATTTCCAGTTCCACCTCATTGAGCTACCTCCATTCACATGCACTACATTCTTATACTTCTCACCTGCTTTGAAGGAATTTTGGAATCCAAACACAGTGCAGGCAAATAGAATAGTCTTTGTTAGAACGTGGAGGATCAGCAACACACCTTCCTAGAGTTACACTAATACCCGAGTTCAGGGTGGAGGTGTGATGCAAAATTTCAAGAGCACAGACCAAAAGGGTAGCTGAAGAAAAACATTTGGATCCGTCATTTCTTCTTCTGTGCCAAATCAATTGTCATTTCAGCCCGTACCTGGATTTTTTTCACTGTCTGCGGTTCCGTCAGTTTAGTCAATAAACACATAAATCTGGGTGTTTCAGTGGAATATTTGGCTTTCATTGGTGCAGAACAGTGTTTAGGCAAAGGAAAATTGTATATGGCTGGTGACTCTTTCTTACCATGGGAGATTGCTCCTTCTACTGACCACAATTTGCTTTCTTAAAGGTAAATCTAGCTGAAAATTGTTTTTTTTTTTTGTGTCCTGTAGGAGAAACGTCCCCTCATTTCCCATCCTGGAGAAACAAAAGGAAGCTTGTGGATATCTCCCCTTGTTGAACCGGATGAATTTCATTCCATGTATGGCCAGCATGATGGATTTATTTAAAAAAAAAAAAAATGTTTTCACTCAGTGAAAGTGCACATACATTCATTCCGTTTGAATGGGGACAAAAAACAAATGTTATAAGGCTATTTCCTGTGCTGGTAAATGTTTTTATTGATTTAAAGCAGAAAGCACTGCATTTGTCCACTAGGTGGTGCTAAAGTATTATAGGAAATTCCTATGATTCTTTGTGCCATCTAGTGGCCAACATAGGTATTTTCCAATTAAAATCAAAGGAAAACCTTAAACCATAACCAGAATTAACCGATTAATAACATTTGTTCTTACCCATATTTGCATAGAACAAATGCAAATGTACTTTCACTGCGTGAATTGCTATGCATTCTTTAATAAATACACCCCCATGTGTAAAGATTGCACACTTCATAGCATGCATGCATGCACTTAACATGAACAAATATCTGATGCCAGGTTCACTTTAAAGGAATTACATCATCTTTTCAATAATGTTTTATATATGCCAAACATGTAAAAAAAAAATGTTCCTGTAAATAATCTTATCACTGTGTATGATAATGATATAAAATCTGTGTTTCTATGTATAATTTGTAATTATATCTCCCAGTATAGTTGTCAGGCATCCCGTATTTTGCAATGCAGTCTTTTATGTATAAAATGCAGTAAATGTGTATTTTGCTGCTTTGGTTACTGTATCTAAAAGGCAGATAAAATTGCACAGTATTATTTATTTTGTTACATATACTGGATTTAATTCTCGGCTTTTGTTCTTTTTATGTAACCGTGGCACAGTACTGCCTCACGTCTTGTGGATGCTGGGTGTAATTCTCAGTATCTGTTCTTATTCTGTATGTGTGGACACCACACAGTATTAATTCATGTCTCCTGTATGCTGGATGAAAGCTTTACTATCAGATTCTATTTGCTGTATGTATGGACACTGCACAGTACTCATTCTGTATGTTGGGTATAGTTCTCAGTATAAGGTATTATGTCTACATGGTACCACTTCTCTGAGATTTTTGTTGGGAACACACAATCCTCCTTTATCAAGGCTGAGTGAAATAACAGAATGTACCCACCCAGCAATCTAGCTTGTACAGTAGACAGGTGCTGTTCAGCCTCCCCTCTGTAGGTGGCATTGTTCCAGTAGCCGCTATGCAGAGGAAACAGAGGTTGAGAGGAGGCCTCCATAGATGTCATCAGGGAGCAGGAGTCCAATTGGACACTGCTGCACTGAATTATCTCTGCAGCCATCTTTAGTGAAGACAATGCTAATAAACAGCACTGCCCCACTGCAGTTGGCGAGCATTTGCAAAGGGCAGGATCCCCACTACCTGTGGACAGTGCACTTAGAGCTAGGGAGAGGTTCCAGTAGAGAAGAGATAGTGTAGGGACACTACACGTGACTCTGCCATCTGGGACCCCCAATGAGTTGGAATGAGGACCATCCTATTTGGTTGCTAAAGGCGCCTGTACCTACTGTCTATCAGCCACCCCCTTCATCAGACTCCGATAATGTAGCCTACCAAAGTGCTCTCTCAAGTACACTGACTGTGTTAAAGTACTGCCAATGTTGTTAAGAGCTGTTACACCCAAGTTGCCTGTATTATTGAGGCTCTGTTGCCATGTTGTTTGGAGCTGGAAAGTGCGTTCCTTGCCACTGTCTTCCATGTTAATTGTTAGCAAATAATAATGTGCTACCTTCCCTGGTCTCTGGGTGCCTTTACTTTATCTCGAGTACAAATCAACTGGCCCTACC